CCTCTGCCCCGCGTAGGAGCTGCCACTGGAGGCTCTGGCTGCTGCTTAGCTGAGGAAGCGGTAAGTGTTCTCGCCATCTGTAAGACAATAAGAGTAGAAGAGTTCAATCAGCATTGAGAAAGCAAAATCGCAAGACAGAGAAGAAAAGATATGAAACTAGTTCCTAAACTTCATAGTCTCTGGAAGATAAGCACAAACGTCTCTGTACCGATCCTCCAGACTCTACTAAGCTGGCTCATGAATCCTGAGACCTAGGCAACCTAGTGTTCTGATACCAACTGTCACGACCCAAAATTTCTCACCGACGGGACCGTGATGGCGCCTAACATTTCACTTGCTAGGCAAGCCAACGCTAGAAAATTGTTAAACCAATTCCTTATTTCCATTCAGTAAATAATAATAATTAACTAAGATGAAATATATTAAGTGCGGAATATCATAAAACTGTATTAATTACTACCACCCAGATCTGGAGTCGCAATTCACAAGTATTCTAGAATTTACTACAAGTAATAGTCTGAAAGAAATACAACTGTCTGAATGAAAGAAAACAGTAGAACAGAAAAGATAGACGGGGACTTTAAGGTCTGTGTACGCCGACAGATCTACCTTGAGTCTCCGGATAGCGGACCAATAGCAAAATTTCGATCAACCCAAGCCGGTATCAAAATTTGCACAGAAAGTACAGAGTACAGTATCAGTACAACCGATCTCATGTACTGGTAAGTGTCGAGCCTAACCTCGATGAAGTAGTGACGAGACTAAGGCAAAGCACCTACAAATTAACCTGTATGATTTAACAGTGTATATACAAGTAACAGAAATGAAGAACTAAACAGAAAATGTCGGGAGGGGAATATACTGAAGGGAATACAAGATAAAGAACTACAACAGAATGATCACCGGAGCAGTCAATATACCATGAATCAATAGGAATAGTGAATACAGTAAAGAAGAATTTACGGCATCACCCTTCGTGCTTTTACTCTCAGTCTCACCATAAAATTAATAGAAACGACACGGCATCACCCATCGTGCTTTTACTCTCATATCATGGCACGACATCGCCCTTCGTGCATTAACACTCACAATATGGCACGACATCACCCTTCGTGCATCAACACTCACAATATGGCACGGCATCACCCTTTGTGCATTAACAATCTCCCTTACCATAATGCAATGCATAAATAATAACATGGAGGTAGAATAACAAGTACAAACCTTATTTCAATATTTGGTTCCATAACATCAACCTCAACTTTGAAATAAAAACTCAATTATCACCAGAAAATCCGTAAACATGATAAGAACGATAAATTAAACAACACTAGTATAACACATAGCAATTAGGCATAGGAATGAGACAATATAAGAAAAACTGAGAAACATGGAAAAATAGGTAAATTGGCGGCGCATAAGTACTCATCACCTCACATATACGCCGCTCATATGAATTTCACTTAGCAAGTAATCTAAGGTTCTTAATTCCCTCAAGTCAAGGTTAGACACAACACTTACATTGCTCCGAAAGTCACTTAATTCTCAATCACAACTTTTTTTTTTGGAATTCACCTCCAAACCACTCGTATCTAATTCAAAAATGACTCAATAATATCAAATATTGCTAGAGGAATCAATTACATTGCATAAATTTAGATTTCCTAAATTTTCCTTCAAAAAGTCAAAAATCGACCACGGGCCCGCTTGGTCAAAACCCGAGGTCCGGACCAAAATTCATTTACCCATTCACCCCCGAGCCCGAATATATAATTGATTTTGGAATCCGACCTCAAATTGAGGTCTAAATCCCCTAATTTCCGAAATTCCCAGTTTCTACCCAAAATCCCTAATTCTACCATGAAAACCTTAGATTTTTAGGTTGAAATCTTGTAAAATGTAGTGAAAGATTGAAAGAAACTAGTTTAGAATCACTTACCTATGATTTGGGGAAGAGATAGTCTTTGGAAAATCGCCTCTTGTATTTTAGGTCTTGAAAATTTGGGAAATGAATGAAAATTCCCGTCCAAAAGTCATTTTGTTCAGCTACAGACATAGCATTTGCAACCTGAGCTTCGCAAATGCGAAGCTCGCAATTGCGAAGGGGCTATCGCAATTGCGAAGCCTTCACAATCCTGCTGCCCTTCGCAAATGCGAGGAAAGTGTCGCAATTGCGATCACTGACCTCGCAAATGCGGACAAAAGATCGCATTTGCAATTCATACCCCTCCCAGGCTCCCTTCACAAATGCGAAGAAAAGTTCGCAATTGCGAACACAGGCTGGCCTGGCTTCTCTTCGCATTTGCGATGAGAAGTTCGCAAATGCGACCTCAACAGTGATCACAAATGCCAACCCTGACCTCGTATTTGCGAGGTCTGAGGCATGCAACACAGCTGAAGCACACCTGCTATTTTTCTAAGTCCAAATCACTCTGTAGCCTATCCAAAACTCACCCGAGCCCTCGGGGCTCCAAACTAAACATGCACACAAGTCTAAAAATATCATACGAACTTGCTCGCGCGATCAAATCGCCAAAATAATACCTAGAATTACGAATTTAGTACCAAATCAAATAAAATTCTCAAAAACACTTTAAAATTTCTATTTTCTCAACTGGACGTCCGAATCATGTCAAATCAACTCCGTTTCTCTCCAAATTTCACAGACAAGTCTTAAATATCATAATGAACCTGTACTGAGCTCCGGAACCAAAATACGGACCTGATACTAACAATACCAAATATCAATAAATTCTTAAAAATAAATAATTTTCAGACTTTTAATTTTTATCAAAAAATCATAACTTGAGCTAGGGACCTCCGAATTCGATTTCGGGCATATGTCCAGGTCCCATAATTCGATACGGACCTACCGGGACCGTCAAAATACGGATTCAGGCTCGTTTACCAAAAATATTGACCGAAATCAACTAAAATCAACTTTTAAGGGGAAAAAATTTATTTTCATTAGTTTTCAACATAAAAGCTTTTCGGAAATCTGCCCTGACTGCGTACGCAAATCAAGGAGAGTAAAAATGAGATTTTTAAGGCTTAAGAGCGCAGATTCGAGTTCTAAAACATAAGATGACCTTTTGGGTCATCACAGAAATAACTTAAGAAATATTTATAAATTACACTTCAATAAATATTTTTATGTATTAAATATATTTAAAACTTGTATACATATAATGTCGGGTTGGGTTAGTTTCAGTTTGAGATTTTTTTTCCAACACCAAACTAAATAAAACTAAACTATAGTGGAATTTTTTTTTTTATTCGATTTGACTCGAATTATCGGGTTGGTGCGATTTGTCGGTTTCATTTGTACACCCTACAGCATCAACAATCGGACAACCTAGTATTGGTTAATTTTCACAAGTATTATTCATTACTAGTCCGTAAGATATGTTGGCATTTTCACATGAGCCATTGAGCTGCGTCCGTCGAAAAGGTAAGGGACCATTTAAGGTAAGGTGGATGCGGCACCTCGGGAACACATTCTTACTTCAGTTTGAAATTACGTTATGTGCGAAAGCGTTTGTTTGATCATTTGTCCCTACCTTTTTTGTAAAAAGTTCTTTAATTTCTTTTTTTAAAGGATAAGTACTTCGCAAGACGGATTCAAGAATATTTAAATTCGATTAGCATAGTATTTAAAATTTTAATATTAAATTCATCGTACTTTTAAAAATATGAATTTAATATTTAATAAATATTTTTAATAAGTTTTTACATGTCTATTTATAAAATAAATATTGCATGCATTTGAACCCATTATTGAAGGACTACATCCAACACTTTGAAATACTTTTTTAAAGACCTTTCCTTTTTTGAAATACCACTAAACTTTTAGAAAATGGCATCAACAAACGTATATAACCTTTCCCTATAAGAATTAAGAAAACCTTTTCAAATGAACTTCCCGAAAGAAGTGTTTTCTATAGTGAAAAGTGGTCGAAGGAGGTTGAGGATCCTTTTACACTATATTGGAGAAAAAAGAAAAGGAAATCACGTCCCTAATTTATTTAGTTTCTTTGCAAGAAAAGAAAGAATGCAAATTACTGGATGAAGAGATCAGTTTCCTGCTGGTTAGATAAACTTCTTTAAAAAATATCATCTTTTCTTTCACATTCAAAAATTATTACTCTCTATTTCAATTTATATGAAAGTATTTGAATCGATACAAAATTTAAGAAATTAATAAATATTTTTTATAACTTTCTTAAAAAGATTCAATGAAGTCCGAGGTGAACATATTGGATTTCAACCGTTAAAACTCTGCGTCAACGACATCTCGCAATTGAGGCTCACACCCAAAAATATCCGGTAACTCCACATGGGCTATTTAGGAAATGAATACAGATTTGGAAAATTTTCATGGGCTAGCAGAATTGTCCAGATGAATTAGCCAGGCCCAATATCTTTTTCTGACCCAGGTTCAATATCATTTCGCATTTTTTTTTCCTTCCTTATGGATAGAAAGAGAAGAGCTAAATTCACTTTTAGCCGGACAGAGAAAAAAATAGCATTCAGTAGCCATAAATATTAGTCAGACAATTCATAACCCCAAACAAATTATACCGGCTAACCCAAATTTAACGTATGCAAAATAAGGCAAAATTAATGGCTCTTCTTTATAGAGCCATTAATTGAGGTAACAAAAGTCTCTTAGGAAAAATAACTATGTTTAGTTGGTCTCCAAAAGGATTTAAACTTGTGAAGAAGAGTTCCAATTCCATTGCAATTCGTTGTCAAACGTGAATGAGATATAAATCCTTATAAGAAACAATTTTGAGTAGTTAAATGGTATCCAAATTTCTTTAAAGACAATTTTTTGGTTGATTTCAAAGATATAAATAAAAATCTTAAATATTAGTAGTAGTTTAATGTGACATTCTTATACCAAACTCTAATATTCTCATACTTTGATCAATAAGGTAAAATTATTTTTTCAGGTAACTAATATGCATGCTACAATGTATACCATGAATATTGATCCTAAAATATATTCTTTAGAACACAGACATAATGCATGTTAAAATATATCCTAAAATATATGCATGCTACATAACAAATGCAAGTGAAGAGCTAGGAAAAATGTAGTGTCTTTTTGACAAATTAAGAAGCAGATGGTACGATAATTGTCTCTTGGAGAAAATGAGAAATTATATGGATTGGTTCAGTACACGAGGGATCTTTCTAACGAGGATTGTAAGAAGTGTTTAGAGATTATGTATTAGTAGTACTGAATTTTCTAGGTGAAAGAGTTTTTAGTGGTAGTTGTACCTTTAGATATAAAATCTACCCTTTTATTAGTACTATATATATATTGTATACAAAATAGACTTTTACTATAAAAAAAATACAAAATAGACTGTCACTGTATAATTTATATATAATAGACTGTCACTATACAAAAAATATACTAAATAGACAGTCACTGTATAATTTATATACAATAGACTGTCACGATACAAAATATAGACAAAATAGACTGTCACTGTATAATTTATATATAATAGACTGTCACTATACAAAATATATACAATAGACTATCACTATACAAAATATATACAAAATAGAATGTCATTATACAAAAAATATACTAAATAAACTGTCACTATACAAAATATATACAAAACAGACTGTCACTATACAAAAAATATACTAAATAGACAGTCACTATATAATTTATATACAATAGACTGTCACTATACAAAATATATACAAAATAGACTGTCACTATATAAAAAATATACAAAATAGACTGTCACTATATAAAAAATATACAAAATAGACTGTCATTGTACAAAAAATATACAATAGATTGTCACTGTACAAAATACATACGAAATAGACTGTCACTAAACAAAAATTATACTAAATAGACTGTCACTATATAAAATATATACAAAATAGACTATCACTATATAAAAAATATACAAAATAGGCTGTCACTATACAAAAAAAATACAAAATAGATATTTCGGGCTATTAGATGTAATATGTTTGGGCCGGAGGAACATTTTGTGTCAATGAGAAAAAATATGGGCTATTAAAATTTTGAAGGGCTATAGAGGGTCATTTTCTCGAAAGAGAACAGATAATAGAAGCAGAAATTACTGAAATTCATATGTGTAACATCATCAGAACATAAACTAAAATACTAGTGCGGAAAACAACAACAACAACAACAACCCAGTATATTCTCACAAGTGGAATATGTTCTATAATTTGCTAAATAACATCACAATTCTGGGAATAATTCTAGCTTCTAGCAGCTTATGGTCTAAAAACTTCGTGGAGTTTAAAGTATATTTAGTTTATATTTTTGTTGCTTTTGCACTTTATATATAATGTTGTATACTTGTATTTCACTCTTAGAAAGTCGTTTGCCTTTTCAAATTCTATCAAGATTTCTCTCCTCCAATTCTTTATTCTTTGAGAAAAGAACCTATGGGAAGGACTGATTTGCGGGTGAGGAATTAGCATACTCACTCTATCAATAACCGAGCTGGATCTGGTGTATCATAAGGGATTTTGCCTTTTCTATTGATTCCTACGGATTGGATCAAAAACAATTCTTGAATGAGGCCAGGGATGAATCGAAAAAGAAAGTTTTATTGGTTATACTACCTATTTTTTATGAAGAGAATGAATCTTTTTCTCGAAGGATCATAAACCTCAGTTTCAGTCTGATGTTTAAGTCTGACGAGAATAATATTCTACGACTAGCAATTCATTTATTTTCAAACCGACCCATTTACTATTTATAGGCATATTAAATGAATGAAATTAGGATATGGATAAAATATAATGAAATAGAGCCACTTTGAGATTTCCTCTGAAATGAGGCATGTAAGGGAGCCACTACGAAGAAGTTCCAGTAGTTACGAAGGAAGTTTCGAGCTCATATTGGTCATGGGTCAAACTTCCATCGAAGAGAAGCAAATGAAAGGCTTTCATAAAAAATCTCGTAGAATCGAGAATGAAATTTTCATTCTGTACATGCCAGATCATGAATTAGTAATTGTTTTTAATTTCCAAAAAAATCCCAATTGTGTCGAACTTTCCATTTCCGAACCATTCTTTTGAAGCTCGTCCTCTTCATCATAGATGATTCGCTTGCCCAAAATGACCCGATACACTGTTGTCAATATAAATACTGAATATTGAAAAAATACAAAAAAAAATCAATTGACAACAATAAAAAATATTTAAAAAAGGACTTGTGTTGGATTGGCCTTAAATTCAAGCGATCTTTTCGTAGGCGTTTGCCCACAATTAAATTGGGGGATCGAATTGATTATAGAAACATGAGCAAATCTCAGATAAGATGATCTAGAGTAATGCCACAAAAATAGCGAAATAGGGTTAATCAAAGTTGTATAGCTCAAAACGAAATTTAAACATATGGAATTCATATGAAAAAGACTAAATACTAGACATAAGGAAGCAGGGGATAAATACGGGAAACAAAAAATTCTAGGAGAGATTATTTGTCTTCCTAGTCTTCCACACAAGAAAAAGGTGTAGAAAAATCTTTTTTTCTTGTGACGAAACGAAGGAGTAATGATTCTTGATCCTGTTTGTTAAAAATTCCGAGTCTTGGTTTCGATTTTTTCAGATGTATCAAAAACCCTTTACGTATAATATACTAAGTGGTGGACAAATAAAATAAATATATAGGGGGCGGACGTATCTCTTCTTAAATTTTCTTTATTTAGCTTATGTTTCAGTCTTTTTATTAGTTTATTACTTACGCTTTTCAACTTTTTGAATCAAATTCCTTTCTTCTTTTTTTTGAAATTCACAATTACAATTATAGCATGTCTTTGTAAGGTGAGATTGGAATTTATCCTTTATTTTGTCCTTTTCATTCACTCGAATTTCTTCCGTTTTATCGATTTTGTCCGGATCCTACCTTTCTTTCAAAAAAAAAAAGGGAAGGAGAAGGATAAGGATCTTCTTCAGTGGATCCCTCTTGTTCCCGTTTAATCCCCTTTATTGCGAAAGTTGTTTCTATTTCTACACCTCTTTTTTCCTCGCTTTCCACCATTTCTTCTGTGCTTTAGGCTTCTTTCAGTTTCTTAGTAAGAATCCTAGAGAAGAAATTAGAAAAATGATAAACCCGATGGGTTGACACCACAAATTCCACTCTCAAAAACCGTATTTTGACTGCGCTTCCACTATCAGAGATGAAATTTCGAATGTCTTTAACGCCGAATAAATGATTAACATTACTGCTAGAATTGTCACGATTCCTCCAACTATGAATGTTTTTCACCTTTCGATTTGGATCTTCATTGGTATTTTCGATAGGACCAAGACTGCCTATTAATTTATTTAGCCCACACCTGCGTTTGTCGTTTCTAGTATCTATTTCTATTTGTTTTCTATATATGAAAAGTTCAAAAATCATCATATAATAATCCAAAAATTGTAATAGAAAAGAAATAAGGGAGGTTTGTGATGATTTTTCAATCTTTTCTACTAGGTAATTTAAAGAGCAATATGACCAATGGTGGTTCGAATATATATAAAAAGGATTTTTTTAGACTTCTTACTATTAGATAGTGTCCATAAATCTCATAAAAAGTACCTAAAGATTCATAGTGAACTTCAATGGGAGTTTCTGTTTTTACTTTAATTTAAGTTTAACTCATTAGATTCAGTAATATATTAATTCACACAATATCTTAAATGATGGAGAAGAAGAAAAAGTATCACATAATCGCTTGAAAAAATCTTTTTTTTTTGTCCAACTAGATTCTAAAACTAGTAATTTCTATTAGGTTTCACATTTTATCTTTTGCTACTGCCCCGTCCTTGTAGCTAGATCTGGCATGTACAGAATGAAAACTTCATTCTCGATTCTACGAGAATTTTTATTAAAGTCTTTCATTTGCTTCTCTTCGATGGAAGTTTGAAGGCTAACGCCTGCCCAGTGCCGGAAGGTCAAGGAAGTTGGTGACCTAATGACAGGGGTGCCGGCGACCGAAGTCCCGGTGAACGGCGGCCGTAATTATAACGGTCCTAAGGTAGCGAAATTCCTTGTCGGGTAAGTTCTGACCCTAATTTCATTATTCAGATAACTCGAGTTTCGATAACTATAAAAAGAACTTTCTACTTGTGTCAATCTCTAAAAACACGCTCGATGCGGTAGCATAGCCCTTTTTAACGATCAAGGCTTGTAAGTCCATCGGTCCATACAGTTGTCCATGTACCAGTAGAAGATTCGGCAGCTACCGAAATCCCAATTGTGTCGAACTTTCCACTTTTGGAATAGTTAAGGAATCTCCTTGGATCAAACCTTATTCCATGGTATTTACACGAGATTCCTCTTTTATATGGTATTTACACGAGATTCCTCTTTTATAGTATTCATCTCTACCCGGTAATAAATAAAATATCCATACCCTGGTTGACCTTTCAGAAATTTTATAAAAAAGGCTTTTTAGAGATCCCTTTACACTTACATTAAATTTTAGAGGACATGCAAAAAGTGATAATAGATCTCATCGTTAGTATTAATAAAAAAAAAATTAGATGCTTATGATTGAGTAGCAGGAGGCAAACTCTTTCTGGCAAGCGAAGATATACTTCTAACATCTCGGTAACCAACGATCAGGCGAGGCAGAAATTATTTGGTTCGAATTTTTCTGATAAAAAAGAAGATAGAATTCCTGATTTCTTTCTATATATAGACTATTGTCTTTTCTTAGATAATTATTGATATGAAGATTGCCGAGCATATCAAAAAGTTTTGTTTGGACGTGTTGGAATTAGAAGAAATTTCGAGGTTCTTATTTACTTGAAAGGGTAATCTAAATATGAAAGAGTCCTTTTTATTTTCATAATTACAGTCATATTCCACAAAAACGAATTCTAGAAAAAAAATAGGGGAAAAGAGAATTCAAGAGGCCAACAAGTATCAAAATAAAGATAAAGACGATTTCGCCAACTTTATCTTGATATGTTTGTCAGATAGAGTCAAAATCTATCCTAAGGTCCCAAATTAGACCAATGGAATTCTGTGTGCTATAGAAACACTTCATGAAGCATCCCAAAATTTAATTGATTTATTTATTTCCTTTTACATATGGAGGAAGACAACTAATATTTACAGAACAATCAACACACGATTCCTTTAACGTTGAGGAGTATTCGCCACTCAAATTGTCCTTTGCATGGTTGATACCCGGTAACAATTTTGTGGAAAATAAATTAATTGGACGGATAATTAGTTAGATCGTTAATTATATGACTTGGACGTTGCCAAAGGAAAAAAAAGAAAGATAAGAAAAAAGAAAAAGAAATGTTAAATGAATTACGTTTAAAAAAAGGAAGAAGAAAAGAGTTGAAAAAGCAACATGTTTTTCAAACTACTGTACACTTCTGCTTTAGTGAAGAAAGATACTTTCTAGTATGTGGTTACTTTCATTTGCTTTAAACATTTTTCTTCACGTCTATATCTTCTTTAATCCGGTCACCATTATCAAAACTGAAAAGCGAACTTATTTTGGACTTCTAATTTTAATGCTTTTGATTGAGCAGGATCTGCCTTCGGCAGTTGACGAACATGTTGCTGGAGTTTATTTCTTCTCAGATACGACTGTTTCTATTGAGATTATGAGGGAATTTTTTTTTTCACGGGATCATAGAGATGTCATATGAGCAGATTGGATCAATTTTGAACCCAACAAAATAAATTGAGCCGAAAAATAAATCCTAACCCAACTCATTTAAAGTTTTATATGAGTTAAGATGGGTTAAGCAAGTATTATAATATACTCATCTAACTCAAGTTTCGATATATCAGGAGAAAAAATTATCTGTATTTAATGTTTGCACCAAGTAATATAAACAGTTAAATAATATGTTACTTCACTTTAATTTATGACTTCTCAAGTTAAATGGCTTGGTGTGGTGTAACACCGTGCAATTAAATTGTAGAAATGACACCAAGTAACCACTTTAAAGGACGATTATTTATGAATTAATCAGGTTCGAATTTGTTCTTGATTAACTTATAATTTTTTGTCATTTGACTATCAATATTCCAAGGATGCAACTGCGATCCTTAAAACTTTAATTAACAGTCCAACTCTAACTTTTTTCTGCCAAAGCAACAGGAATTATTGGTTTGCAAGTTCGTTATTGTAAATCTTTTTCCATAGAAGAAAGAGATACCTTCAGCAAAAAAAAATAAAAAAAATAAAAAAAAATGAAAGAGATACGGAGTATATAGTTAAACCCCATTTGGGATATTCTTGGCTATACCATTGCTGCTCGATACTTTTTTCAGCCATGAAGAGGATTGAAGACGCAGGTTCACTGACAAGAGTAATATGCTAAGGAATTAGTTTAATGGCTGTTTGGTTAATAAAGTAATTTCTTTTTTATGTCAAGATTTTTGGGGTATTGTCACTTTTAGCCATGTCAAAAACTATTTATATTTAGTAGTCGAAAAAGTATATAAAATTTGTATAATCTTTTGTATATAACATACAGAATATATATATATATATATAAAAAAATATACAAATTATATATATTTTTTGACTATTATTTTTATCGCGAATATACAATGTCATTTTTCCAAGATATTTTCATTGTTTTTCCGTTAAATAAGTTAAGTTGGTATTATTTTTGCTGTCAGTACTGTAGTTATAGCCACATGCCACTGTCCTCAATAAATTTTAGATTAGAAAGGATAAGAAAGAAAAAGTACTATAGTAGTAGAAATTATCCCAAGCTGTCATTTTAAATATTAGAGAGGTAAAGTCTGGCTCTTCAAAGACTCCCAGAGGCAAAGCAAGCAAAGTAAAACCCTCTAGAAACCTTATTATGGCATGGACTCTTGCAAGTGGCCTCTGGTTCAACATTCTACACCCCTATTTTGGCACAGAAGAATTTTTTTCAAAAGAGTGGGGCACTGAAAATTATTTTTCCAATCACTGTGGGATTGAACATCTCAATGAGTGGGCAGTCAGTAAGTGTTAAATCTGAGAAAATAATTCACAGTGGGGAAAAAACCATTACAGAATACAACCAAATCCATTCCCCGTAGCAAAGAGTTTAAACGATTAAAAAAATGATCCATTTCGGTGCCTAAAAGAACACCACAGCATAAATTTGCCATTTTAGTCATTTTATTCGAGGTATTGTAAATGAGTCCCTAAGTCATCAAACGTGTTCAACTATTAATCAGGAAACAGCTCCATGACCCTAGTCAGTGCCAAAGATGTCCCCTCGTCTTGAGAACGGGCGAAGGCACATAGCCCCACCCTTCGTCGAAAAATTATACGGTATATATAGGTAAAATATTAGATTTTAATGGTATATAACATATATTGAACACCCTTTATCACAGATTTTATTTTTACTTATTTCAAGTTTGAACACCCTAAATGAAATTTTTGACTTCAGCACAGTCTTGAGCTATATATGAATTCTTATAAATACCTCAAAAGTTATGAATAAGTTGAAAAAGAGAGTGACATATGGGGTCCTTAAAGTAAATGGTGATCAACAGTAGGCGCAATGGGTTCAACAAAATCCTCGCCATCTAACTCGGACTATATATCTGTGAGTGAAAAGATTGCACATATATAAAGAACAGAACACACTGATCAAAATCCTTGAATATGTCATTGCTACGAGTAGAGGCTGACCATGACTTACTCCGAAAACAAAATATATTGGGAGGGATAAGCCTTGTAAAAATAGGAGCCAGCAAATTCCGAAAAAGAAAATCAAGAAGCGAGTTTAAAATCAAGAGGTGAGAAAACTAGCTGCATATTTCAGGATGGAAAGGATCATAGAAGTTAGGCCTAAGCTAAACATAAAAAAGATAGTGTCGTTTTATTCCCGCACGTCTGTTAGGGTAGTCTAAGAACTGTCGAAAATGAAGATTCATTCCAAGACATGAAGAAATTGCAGAATTTTCACAAAGATACTTTCATCATTGTCATGTTGAGTATATGATCCTATTCTACTCTTACCAAAGAAACATCAATAAAGACACCCTAAAATAACCAATAGAGTAGAGTAAGCGGCACTAAAAAACAAGCTACAACCTACACAAGAAGCAGCCACAATATCAACAAAGTCTGTGGAATTGGGTGCACATCAATTCCAACTTTGACGGTACTGCAACTAAATTTTCAGTAGACCACAAATCACAATGAGGTAATATAATTCCAAGATTTTTCATCAGAATCCTTTTCGGATAAACATGTCGGATATTGATGGAGTTGTTTGTCACAGCACAACTTGACAAAGTGACAATGTATTGACACAAAATCAGTCCTATTTTTGTTGACGTATTTGAAGTGTTCTTTAACTTCTTTTCTTTATTGCTTTTCATCTCCACCTTAGGGATTAAGTTTTGCTTTCCGTTACCTTAAGGAATAGTAGAGTTTAATGTGAGAGTATCATGAAAACAGGGTTAAGAAGCACAATAATTGGCACTGATAGTTCTAAGCTTCATTAATACTAAGACATATGACAAAGAAATTAGAACAATTTAAGATGATGAGCTTTACGATAGCAGCAACAGTAATCAAACCGTAAGGATAACGATAATTAAAAAGAACACCCATTTGCTTTAAATAACAAAACACCTTTATTCTCCACATTCTTAGTGGATCTAGACCTTGTAACAAGTACGTAAGCAGACTTTAATGATATGCCCAAAACTCCAAGTAAATAGTAATGAAATGTAGCACCATCACACAACTTATCAAACTTTATGCTTTGCACCTTGAGGTGTCGATGTTATAAAAAATGTTAAGCAACAAAAGACACAAGCGTACAACATCAGGAATAGTTTAACAGTCACTTTTAGCGTTACTTTAAGCTGAAAAAGAAAACAAAAGCAAGGAGATGAAGCTGATGAAAAAGGGGTAAGCATATGAGGAACTTATCCTGTATGACCAATCTATTTATTGTCAACGACCTCATTAATGATACATCTAACCAAGTACTTATCTATCTGGATCAACAATTTATGGTGTTAAATACAAAAGCTAGAACAGTCAACAATAATGAAATTCTTAGCTCGGTAAACTTTCTTAACAATTAGATAGATTGATTATGCAAGGAGTAAAATAAAGCCATAACAAAAAGGATAATAACTATTCTTATTAAACAATCAATGAATAGTACAAAGAAGTCTATATAACCAGCAATCATTTTGCATCCATGTAAACCAGAAACAACATTGTTTTAATACTATTAGCAATAAAGAAATTATCTTGTCTTTGTCTCATATTTCAAAGTGGCTCTATATTTAAAGCTAAAAAGTTATCAATTGGGTCCATGATAGATAGTAGCTAACAGATGTACTAAGGTATTCTCATGCGTGACGAAATTAATGGATCATAAAGTGACTTTGCTCTCTACTTTTATTCAACATAAACCCATTCTTATCCATTCCCTGAATTTTATAACTTGATTTGCATCATTAAAAAGGCCAAAAGGACACAGTTACACTAAACAACCACAACTTATAAGTAGAGTATATTACAAAAATATCAAGAATTGTCCCTTTCTAAAGTCTCTCTCTGCTCTTTAGAAGACCTCAGAACTTTCGTCCGATTTGGATCTTTAGAGCTTGATGCGCGCCATCATATCTTACCAAATTGTGTTTTGGTACTCAAAGAAATGACAAGGTCATATGCTCTGACGAACCTTCAGTAATAAGGAAGGTGTGCTTCCCAGAGAGCCACCTTGACTAAGAACTCAAATGGGGTAATCAAATAAATTTTAGAGTTAATACTTGATCTAAAGATAACCAATTATTGAGGCTTAAGGATGAAGAAAAATGACCAAATGGAAGTAAAACTTGGCCACAATTCCCAGCTAGTCGGGACAAAAACTTGACTGAGTTGAACACATGATTGTTGTGTAGAAATTAATTATGTGCTCTCACTACCTTCTAAAACAAAAGAAAGAAGAAAGGAAGGGGAAGTTGAATAGGCTATGTCAGTGGGGTGCAATAATGGGCATATCAGGTACAAGTGACAGTACCACAAATTGAGTTCCCCATCATGATGACCACGGCACCTGAAACTTTCAATAAACTATAGCTTTATGTTTGAGGGTCTTGTGCTTGAGTTGATTGGTAGCCAATTGACCATAGGAATTGCACACGAAAGCCACGCGCAACTGTCAGCAGAATCGCACTTCAGAAACCTATCGTGCATTATGTTTTCTTTGTCCTCCATCTTTTGTACTTTCTTACCTTATTTAACAGATATATAAGGCATTTTTTGGTATCAAAAGAGGCGGATGTTAAATCAAGTACCCATCCGCGCAAGACCTGGCCGTTAGTTTAGGGCAGTGTCCCGATTGGGTATTTTTGTCTTCCCAAAAGCCCTAAGATTTCTATGAATTTTTATGAGTAAGATTTGCTATTTGAAGGGCATAAGGGGTAAATATGGGGAGATATGACCATAATTGCGGAAAGATAGGTAAGATATGCTGACATGCACGGGCTTCTTAAATGGACAATATCTTTCAGTAGAATCAGTTGTACTATTCATACAGTTCATTCAAATTTCACTATTGCGAGGAATTTCCAACCTACCAAGCTTTTTCTTTTCTAAAGACGACAAGAACACATAAAGTACACTTTTTTCAGGTAGTCTTCTTTTTCATCGTATTTTTTAGAAAGATAGGTAATTCAAAAGTGTACCAAATGGGAGTACATCAAACACATTTTCAAACAACATGTGAGGGATAAATTTTCTACGAGAACGTAATTAGCGATGTGAAGGTATAAGCATGAAATGAAACTAGGATCTTTCCCACTTTCTAAAGGATGTGTAGTATCCCCCACCTTAGTTAATTGCCAAGGAAGTAGAGAAATTATTGTTGTCCTTGAATATTGGAAAATTTAAACAATTTAGAGTGCTATTTTAGTATAAGACAATGGAAGGAGCATCGAAACAAGAATAGCAGAGAGTTAAGTGAGACGTACTACTTGAACGTGATGGGTAAATAAACAAGTACAAGGTCCGGGTTCAAGCAGCGTTCTAAATACACAGGGAATTCAAATATACCCGTATCAGTACAAGTACGCTCAACAATGATTTTTATATTGGTCTATATCAATCACTTGAACATAGAAGTGGTCATAGAGGAAAAGGCCTTCGTTTCAAAGCGAAAGTATTAAGTGCAGAGGGCAAAGAAATGCAACAAAGGCAAAACAATTTGAAGACAAGAAAAGAAAGAGGAGTCAATATTTGGGTAATTATATTGTTGACCATTGAGTCCACTCAAACAGACCCACCTGAAAGGGGGAAGAGCATTATCCCTAAGGACTGAGGAGGTTCTGGTTTTGGATGCATTACAAATCCATTTTTCATAGTGGAAGACTGGATTTCAAAGCTAATCCATATCCTACCACCTCTTCCTTCCACCACCAACCGAAAAGTATGACTTTAACCGCACAAGTAAATCTAAATTGTGGTTAATATGAGACCTAATTTTTGTATATTACACGACACTGTGTTCAGCTGAGCAAAATTTTTACCTTTAAGAAACAGAAGCCTGAGGAAAATGCAGTTAATTGCTGCAAAATCAGAAAGGCAAGTTCTCGTTGAGATCCTAAAGAACTCTACATGAAATTTTGAGCAAAGCATTAGATCACCCTCGAATTTAATAAGCTTTAGTTATGCTTATTTATCTTTTCCGTGAAACTTATTAATCGTACTCTTACTGGTCATTAGATAACTTTTGTCTTGCAAACCTGGGAAGCTCAATGTGTTTCTTCACATTCGTCAATCCTGACCAAGAGTTTCTATAAGAGTAGAATGAAGCACGAAGTAATAGGAGTCTCAAGTTATTTTAAACGAATCAAGCAGCTAGATACTGCCAAATCTGATTTCATGAATTCTTTGAACTGTTATATCTTGTTGATAATGAGTTTATTTTCCTATATTACAAAACAATGGAAGATTCTCTTTCAATCAGTGAATTTAGATCGACTTGAATTAGATGTCATACCATTTGGATGTCCAATCACATTTGTTGCACCTCACTTTGTGCTTACCACATATAATAAAGGAAGAGGATATAACTAACTCCACAGAAATTTACCTATCATTGATGACAATGTAGTGTTTTTACTGCGACTAAGGCAACATATGATGCACCTCATATTCACCCCTAAATTCCCCTAAGTGATTGTAGGCTTCAGCCCTGTTATGTATAGGAGGAGCTACGCACCATATTATGTTCCATTTTTAAATCATGTTGTGGTTGTTGAGTCATCAACTTATTAAGTGTATGATCTTTCCACTTATAGAATATGGCTTGCCTTCCAAAACCTCATTTTCCTCTTCTTTTACGTCATCAGCCGTTCTCAAAAACCATCATAGAGTGAAAAAATCATGGATTCAATTGGCCTTGCAATAATGCTGAGTTGGTCTGCCTGGAGGACCCTTCATGCCGAATATGTGTCCATGTAGCAGATTAAGTAAAACATAAGTTCATGAAGTAAACATCCTCTCCTTATGACCCTCAGATATTAGCATATGCACATGTTTCAGGATTATTATATTCTGATGATTTCATTTTCAAGGAACTTTACTGTATCTAATTGATAGAATATGGGACCATCTAACTTTTCCCCAATCCTATAAGAAGTCCCCTTCCTGCTCACGTTACCATTCGCCCTTCAAACTTCAAAGCCAACTTCTTTTGCTTGACCCTCCATTAAGATCTAATTCCAAATAAACTCATATACCTTTAAGCCATGCAACCCACTGATGTCACGGACTTCTATCGTCTACTTCCTTCAAACTCAACTCAATACCCATCTCAATCCTGCGTTAACTACAACACATCCACATTTCAGCTAAACAGGCTCGNTCCACATTTCAACTTAACAGGCTCTTGAACCCTTTGTATCATCTTCAGATCACCCCTCAAGTTCAAGAGTTCAATCCACAACTAACATGCTTCAACAGTAACTCTACATCAGACGAAGCTGATGAGCAACAGTTGAATCTAATAAATGAACGGAAACAGAGAAGAATGATATCTAATAGAGAGTCCGCACGGAGATCACGCATGCGCAAGCAGAGGCACCTAGACGAGCTTTGGGCACAGGTTGTCTGGCTCCGAAATGAGAATCACCAGCTCCTGGACAAACTAAATCATTCTTCTGAGCGCCAGGATCAAGTACTTGAAGAAAATGCTCAACTCAAGAAAGAAGCTTCAGAACTTCGCCAAATGATCACTGACATGCAGCTTAGTAGTCCTTGTCCTAGCTTAAGGGCTCTTGAGGATGAACCTTGCAGTGGTTTATCTCAAAACGAATAAAAATTCAGACTACTCTGGAAGTTATGCTGGTTCAGATAAGGCCATGGTTTTGTTTTCCTTGTTGTTAAGATGGTGGTCAGAATTTGAGTTTTCTCTTTATCTCTTTTGTTGACGAGATGAAAGCTATGAGTTTAGTTTTTACTTTATCTCTCTTCTTCTTGTGCTGGTATGCTATTCAATAAAAAATTCCCTTCTTTTGTGCTGTTCAGTATGCTAGTTTCTTTATACATACATTAATAGATAAAGAAGAAAAATCCATTTTATTGATAAAGAACACAAGGCAAGAGACCATGAGATAGCAACTGACCTGTGCAAGTATACCGGATGGAATAATTAGAAGGCAGAAGCAGTAATGAATCTGGGAAAAAAATGAGAAGGTAAAAACAACAGGACAATTCCACTAGAGAAGCTTTGTCAATGGAAATTAGCCAACAACAGCAGCAGAACTTTTTCCGAAAGTTGCATGTCAAAGATAGTTAAACAGGACGACAGAAGAAAAGGGATTGTGCCTGACAGGTTTTTTTTATGACAAGCATAGCCACAACAGGAGAAACATGTCAAAAGCCATCCACTGATTCCAGGATCCACTGTTCCAAGCTTTAATTGTTATCTTCAGAGTGTTAGACTTTATTATGTCATTTTGTCACAACCTATTCACATAGAAGCACAACTACAGTAACAGTGACTTATCCTACTTCCTTCTGCTACAGGCTGAAGAAGAGAAAATTCCGCAGTTGACATCACCACTCACCAGTTACCAGTAACGCTAATCAAAAAGCTCCCACAACAGTGTGAACTCCTATGTTACTATTCCTTATTCTGTTTTTTTCTTCTGTTTTAGTACTGTAAGTATGATCTTCCATTTGAGTTGTTTATGCTGGTTCCTCCTCTCAATTGAACCTGAACTTTTGAACAATGTATATATATCATACTTAACGATACACTTGCTAGGTATATCACGATTCAAGTGTCAAAACCTTTTCTAATTGCCTATTTCTTCTCCTGAATTGACCTTCTTGATAATGTTATGACTAATTCACAGGTAGACCAGCTAGCTATATCATTAAGTAGCAGCTGAAATCATAGGCAACTCCATCTCTTTTTCTTGAGGTTGTCTTGCTAATGAACCATATTAATGTCTTGGTGATTCAACACCGCCACTGCAGAAAGCCAAAGTTTCCTAATTTTCTCTAGAAATTTGTTTCCAACAATCCATAGTTTTTCTATGCATGAGGACAGCAAATAAATAACTACGTTCAATCTTCCCCCAGTAATGCTCTTCTTCTCACAGTTCTTGTGAAGAATATTCACAGTTCAAGCTTGTCTAGAATTTAAATAGTGTTTCAATAGGAATGCCATACTTGAGAAGAGATAACCAGGTTTCCTCATCTAACCGTGCTATTAGATCCTAGGGAGCTCAACTTAATTAGTTTAATCTCTATTGTGACTGTTCTTTGAAAGAAAGAAAAATCAGAGGAACGAGAAGGTGGGATCTGTTTTAATTATAGAATCATGTTGTTTCTCTGCTGGAAGGGTCATCTTCCATAAGCAAGGTCACAGTCATAACGACCTACACAAATAAGTTTGCAGTTCTCAATAGCTTGCAGGGCAACGGACCTATGTGTTGTAGATATTAAAAAAAAAAGTAAAATAAGTATCCTTTTCTAATATAGGCATGATCTATAACCAAAATTGGAAGTTTGAACTTAGCCGCATTCATGAAAAAGATCAACTTCATAACGCAATAGGCTACAAAATGCAAATTACTAAGTAATTGTTTCTGGATCAAATCAAAATCTACCTAGTCTTTCACGCGGATACTGCAAGTATATTAGCTTTATCACTTCATGAAGGACAGCCGAAAATAATTAATTACTGCAAGTTATACTACAGATAGAAGATAAATCAGCATAGCTAGCACGTAAGAACAGTTGAAAAATATGTTCAATAATCAAATACCAATCGCCTTAGCCCTTAGGTTTTCATGTTTATAAGTTTCAATGAAAATATCATAAGATAGCTGCGCATTTGAAACTTCAGAAGATATATCTATAGCAATGTACAGATAATCAGGAATTACCTGTGTTCCGAGAATCAGAATCTGGTTTTGATCATGCTGCAGTGGAACCGAAACGGAAGACGGTGAAATGTTGATCAGAAGAAATTGTTTTCGTGCGAAGTTCATACCAGCTTGAGATTATGTAATCTCCCGGTTCAATAGTGGATCCAGAAAAGCGGGGGCAGAAAATCCCGCCCTGCGGATTTGAACTTCCCCAGTTTCCCGGGCTTAATCAACCTTTTTTTCTTTTCCATTTTTTCCTCTCCCCCAAACCCAATCAGGAGGACCAGCAGTTTTGTCACTTAAAATAAAACATAAAAAAAGAAGTTTTGTCACTTAAAATAAAAAAGTGTGTCACTTTTTAAACCTGCAATTCTACTCTTAGAGCAAGCCTCACTCGTCTAAGAAAAAGTTGTATTGATCCAATCGAATGTTATCTAACCATACCGATTAATAGGTTTCTGTTTGTCAAAAAAAAAATGTAGCTTTCATATAAATCTGTAGTTTTACGGGATCATTATGATTAATTTAATGCCATATAGAATTATAGATAGACCAAAAAATAGTCAAACAAGATATACATAACAAATACACATTTTTTAAACTTCAATATACGAATTCTACTGCAGTAGTATTTTGGGGTTCGAGACACATCAAACCATTTAACTGACTGCACAAATCTACTGGTTTAAATCAATCAAGGAGTGAATCACTCTTTCTCTTTATGAGATTTTCTATTTTATTTGTGGATTGTAGACGAGGAGGTAGAATTTAGGATGTCCACAATTTCGAATTTAAAACAAGTAGGGAGTATAGGTTTTATTCAAATAAAATTTTATAAATCTCATTTGCCTTGTGAAAATTAATTAAATATAGCCAAGATCCACTTTTCCATTTATTCTTTTGTTGATCCACTGATTTTAATTTTATTTGTTCTAACATGAGTGACATTATTCTAATAATATTACTGACTAGAGATCAAACTTTAAATCAAAGTTTTCAAATGATGTACCTGGTGATCATTTCATTTGTTATTTTTTCATTGTTATCACTTACTAATGTTCTGGATCTTATAGTGAGAATTTCACGATTTTTGGTGTTATGTTATATTTATTATTATTTTTATATGAATGAAAAATAAAACATACTAGTACCTTTTTACATTCTTATATTTTTATTCTTCTAATATGACCTTTTGAAAAAGAAAGTGCATATATATGGATTATGGGTGGATATTAGATAGGTAAATATACATAATTGCATTCAATGTCTATATCAAACTAAGTAATTTAAAATTAGCAATCAAAAATTAAAGTAAAAATATATATCACTTAGCGGTTAATTGATAAATGTGTGTATCAAAAACACGGATCTAACATTTATGGTCTTGCTAACCAAACCTATTAATTAGATGGGTCTCACTTCCCACTTCTTTAATTATGAATGGACAACGAAATTGCAATAGGCTAATAAGTAATAACACGGTCATTATGGTCAGAGTAGCAGAATAACACAAAAACATATACTCCTCATTAGGGTTAGGCTATACATAACACGGTCATTATGGTCAGAGTAGCAGAATAACACAAAAACATATACTCCTCATTAGGGTTAGGCTATACATAACACGATCATTATGGTCAGAGTAGCAGAATAACACAAAAACATATACTCCTCATTAGGGTTAGGCTATACATAACACGATCATTATGGTCAGAGTAGCCGGTCATATTTAATGTTTACTTTTTCTAATCATATACATAAATTATACATTGTTTATACACGATTATACACATATAATACATAAATTATGCATATATTATACTTTCACCGGTTAATTTTTGTTTAAACGGTTGGGGTAGGCTACTATTTGGGTTAATTCTTAAAATAACATTGTATACCCGCTGTAAAAATAATAGCCGAAAAAATATATAAAATTTGTATATTTTTTGTATATATATACATTATGTGTGTTAAATACAAAAATTATATAAGTTTTATATACTTTTTCGGCTACAAGATATAAATTGTTTCTGGCGCGGGCAAAAAATAATAACACCCAAATTTTTATTTTTATTTTTTATTAAAAGACCACCATTTTGGTGGGGGTTTAGGCAGACCCCTACCTGTAGATTTATAAACCAAAATGAGAAACATACAACAAAAGGAACCAAATGCCTATGTTCCTCTGTGAATTAGAAAGGACTGAACATGCCCAATCCAATATGAGTTAACACCAAAAAAGGTAGTACTACTATGATTGCAGGAAGTGAGTCTTCCATATACGTGTGCTGCTATGAAAACACAACATATATACGATTATCATCCTACTCCATCTAGCCACATGTTCTTCATTTTTAATCTCCTGAATCTAAAGGAAGGCATTTGTCTCCTATCCATTTGATATACCCCAACAGTCTCCCTAGGTAGATCTGGGACATTGAGGAAGATGGTAGCAATAGGTAGAATATCCAATGTAGCACCATATTTTGATAGTGTGTTTGCCACTGAATTTCCTTCTCTATAGCAATGTTGGACTTCAATTCGATGACTCTGAATAATCTTTTTCATCTTTAAAATATCATCATGAATCTCCCAAAAAGTTGAAGAAGATCCATTAAGCATATTAACAATCAATAAAGAGTCAATTTCTAGAATTACATTGTGAATCCTATTGAAGGCAATCCACTCAATTCCAAAAAATGTAGCTTGTGTTTCAGCCGTATTGTTAGTGCAGAAGTGAAGAGCCTTGGCATATGCCATGACAAGCTTTCCATTGTTATCCCTAACAATATCTCCAATACCGGCCACTCTTTTCATAACATTACTACTCCCATCCGTGTTAAGCTTCAGTCTACCTGAAGGAGAAAGTGACCACATCACCTTGAGAGCTTTTATTGAAGATTTAAAACCTTCTAGAAACCTGCAAATTTCAGCCCAGTCTTCTTGCCATTTGATTCCCTTGTAGTGAACTTTAAGAAGCATGATTTATCAGTGATTGCACTCGATCTAGCAAGCTTTGTACAAAAGCATATGAACCTTCATATTTAGCTGCACACCTGTATTTCCATAACTCCCAACAGATAATTGAAGGAACACATTGGAGAACAAAACTGTGCGCCTCATTCAAAGGCTTAATGAACCACCAT